GCAAACATAGCATAAAACTTATAACCCCAAAATTTAAGATACAAAATTATTTTAAAGTGGAGATAAGTATTACCTTAAATGATATCGAACAAGTAGAAGCAACCTTATTGACCAAAAAGAAATTTGAAGACAAAAACAAAACCAAAGAAAACCCCACAAAATGCCATCAACAAATAGGACTAAAATGCGAAAAAACTGCAAAGAAAAACAAAAAAATCACTTCAGGGTTCATAAAAGCATCCCCTGCCACACACACAAATTCTAACCTTAAGCTGTTCTAAGGCATAGACCCATCAGCCCCATTTCATTCTCATCCAATTTTTAACCAATTTTGAGGTAACTTACAGTGTTCTTCTAATCTGCTATTGTTGGCAAATAAAACCCAGCTGACTTCTGTGATTTACTGCCAGACACTCTAAGAATTTTGAGACCAATTTGGACTTTGTCATAGAGATGGTAGATATAACAAAACTCAGGCTCCACAGCAAATATCCTTTGAGACTTAAGGTTGCAGTCCAACAAGCAGTTCTGGCAGACACAGGCTTGAAGTGTGAAAGCCCATCTAGAGCTGGTCAAAGTGCAGAAGTGCTCAGTTTTCATCACAGAAAACCTAATAGTTGAAACACTGGAGAAAAATGGTGAGGCTCCTTGAGAGGCCAACCTCACCAGGTACCTGAAGACCACCTCATAATCTGGAGAGGAAGACCATCTACAAACATCTGTAACTCATTCTGAGCCAGGTGAGGAGAGAGGATGAAAGCCTACTAGCGCAACAAGAATAGAAAATAAGTTTGCATGAGACAGGAGGCGGGTTTGTGCTCCAGCTATGCTGTACCTGTTGAAGGATCCATTAGTGTTCAGTCTCTGTCATAGTAAACCGCACTCAATGGCAAAGATCATCACGTTTCCATTCACTGTGGAATCCACAGCACACGAAACAAATTCGTCATCAGTGAGGTTTCTTTGGTCCTCCTAGCCTCCTCTTTACAGTGCAAACCCATCTTGAGGGACCACGTTTGTCATATTAACTATATGATAGGGAAGGCCTTTTATAACCCATTGTCATTATTTGGTGTGGCTCCACAAACGTTGGTATGGTGCACGTTGCTGTCTCTTCCCTAGCGAGTCCAAGCTTTGCTCCCTGCCTCCGTCACCGTTGCCCCCACCCCCAAACTACCCACACAGTTCAGGTTCAACTGCTCACTCTCTCCCTCCAGGGTTTCATCCACCCTTCCAGCTGTAGTTAAGATCCTCCCTTTCACACACCCGTCTGATCCCAGGACCCAGGCATTCCCAGATGCATTCATTTGACTTTTCTGTTCTGAACAAGTCACCACTATGCAAAGTGCTTCTGACACCGCTCAGTGCTGAATTTTGGACTCCTCTGGTGACTCAGACGGTAAAGAATCTGCATGCAATGCCGGAGACTCAGGATTGACCCCCTGGGTCGGGAAGATTCCCTTGGAGAAGGGAATGGCTACCCACTCCAGTATGCCTGCCTGGAGAATTCCACGGTCAGAGGAAACTGGTGGGCTACAGGCCATGGGGTGGCAAAGGGTTGGACACAACGGAGAATAGCACTTTCACTTACTCACTTGGTGCTTTATTTAGTTATCTTACTAAAGCACGAGAAATAGTATAGCAATAGCAAAGGATAATTTTAGACATCACATACATGCTAGACTAGCATACCAGGCGCTCTTCCCTGTGATAATATGTGGGGGTGATACCACACCTCTGCAAGATCCCATGATGGTCACCAACAAAGCAATATGAAGTTACGACCTCAAGAGGCCAAGAATGACAAATAAAAGGGGGAAAAGCGTCACAATTTAACATATGATGGGTCTAGTTGCAATTTAAGACAAGGATGGAACTTTACTCTGTAAAGGGCCAGATGGTATTTAGGTTTTGCTGGCCAGTGTTTGTTGCAAACTATTCAACAGCAAACCTCTTTAGCACAAAAGTGGCTGCTTATAGATAATATGTAAATAAAGGAGCATTGCTGTGTCCCAACAAAACTATTTATGGACACTGGAATTGGAATCTTAATTTTCACCTTTTTGTAAACAAAACACTAAAAACTGTAAAGGCCATTCTTAGCTCATGGCTCATACAACAGGCAGTGAGCCAGATGCGGCTCATGAGACTGCAGTTTTGCTGGTCCCTGGCTTAGAACAAAGTGGAACAAAATGGACAGTGGGAAGTCAACTGGAAGAACACACTGTACCTGAGCCGCACAGCTGGGCGGCTCAGCGGAACACAGATGTGGTCAGAAGGACTCCTGGAAACTGCTTGCTTCTGAATACTTTGTAGCCATCTCAGGCTGGCTGATGGTAACAACAAAAAAAGGTCTGGAAAAGAGAGAACTCCCTGAAATCTCTAAAGCCCCCATAAACTCTGTTATATACATTCTAGAGGAAGTGTCCCATCTCTGTGTTGATGTTTTTTCACAGTGAACACAAACAGGAGACCCAATAAAATTGACCTAGTTCCGGTCATCCCAAACCCTAATTCACCTGAAGAAAACAGAAGGTTCAGTGATGGGGCACTGTCACTTTCCAATCTAAGTTCTATACAGTAAAATCATTATAAGAAATGAGAAATGCCATGTTGGATATATTGAAAATATTTTATAATTAATTCTCTAGAATCCTAGCCATTGAGTACAAGAGAAAAAAATCATATGGTGGAACACTTCAGTATTTTTAAACAATGTAAAAATATATTTGACTAGATGGCAATTAAGAATTTAACAAGTATAAACTTAAGCTTCTTCAGGTTTTCCACAGAGCAACTAAACAATCAATAGATTTCAAGAGACAGATGACAGAATACCTCAAACGCAAAATTCCAAAGTCACGTCACGTTGCCACTTAGATAAAGAGATTTAGCAAATGTTTGTAAATTAAAAGATAACAGCAAAAGGTCACATAAAGCCTATTTCTTTCATGGTGTCATGGCTGATTCTTTCCGCAGATAAACAGAGCACTGTAAAGAATGGTCAAAACTTGGCCTGAATTGTCTTCTGGCAATTATTAATCCCACTATTTGTAGTTTTGCTGCCCAAGGACAAAAGCTCCATGTGATCGATCACCTCCTGCTGTCACTTTCCAGAGAAAAGAAGAGGTGGCTGCTGGTTGCTTTTTCTCTCCTTTTCTAGTTTTCACTAGGCTCTAAGCAAGTAAGTAGCAGATAGAATATCGTCTAAATAAATGAATACTCCATTATCTCACCAGAAATGCCATCCCACTTCCCAACTCATTGCTCTACCTTGAAAGATGAACATATTTACAAATCCTCATTTTATTCTGAGACATTTTTGCACAATCCATTATAAAACATACAGGTAATACAAAGTCCAAAGGTCTTGTTGTGTTTATGGAATAAACACGTGAAGATTAAACTACATGATTAACATGGGAAAAAAATCATAATTTTGTTTATTTTCATAAGAGATAGGTTATGAGTGAATGATGTAAAAGCTTAAAAGTCATCACCAAACTGTGCTAAGGATTATTAAGAGATTATGCAGGATGAAATCTGTGCAAATTCATCTTCTTAACTCAGTGTGTAGAAAAAAAAATTATTTCTTTAGTCTTTTTAATATTCAGGAAAATAGAGCTTGGGGGGGAAAAAAAAAAACAAGTAGACACCTGCCCCCTTTTCATGATCAAATAACAATGCCAACAAAGGAGATTCCAAAGAAAAAAGCTGAGATTAAAAAAATCCAAATAAAAGCCAACACTGCTAATAAGATTTTTCTTTTAATATGCCATGAGATATCTTGATTGTATATTTTCCAAAGTACTATTCCAGCCGCATCTCCCAACCCTTCCAAAAGATTTCGTCAGTCTTTCCAATGCAATAATAGATGCTGGATTGTAGTTCTGTCCACCTTCTCTTTTCAAAAGCAAAATAATCCTAATGACTTTAATGGTCATACATTCTTATCTAATAAGGAAAAAACATTTACAAATATCAGAAACCCAGTTTTGAGACATTTGTATTAATCTTGAACTGAATCAGCATTTTGTGGGTTTTTAAAAAGGCAGCAGTTAGAATTCACGACTTGCTGACAAACACATTTCTGCTGAGGGAAGGGGAAGACAGGGAGAGTGAATGCTGCATTTCTTCATTGGCCCCAAAGTGCTAACTCCACAAAGGGATACATCAAAAGCAAACATGCAACCGTGGTTTTTATAACTTTTTACTGCAATATAACAATGAAGTAAACAGTAATTAGGCAGCTACCAATTTACCCCCCAAAATAAACCAAAAAACAAAAAAATGTAAACAGAAAAATAACTCTGCCTATACTTGTACAGCTTCGCAAATCATGTTAGAAGGGTCTCACATTCAATGATCAAGAAATTTAAAAAAGCAGTTAATTATTCTCATCTTTAAGAAAATGTTCCCCATCTCCCCCCTTCAACCCCAAGTACGTATCATGAAAGAATGGGCTTTCTTACACATTAATTTTATACTTATTTGAAGCAGCAACAATAACCATCAATAATTTGGCATTTCCATTTACAGTCACTCCCATTTTTTTTTTCCCAATTTCACAAAGCCATTATCCAGTGTTGCCATAAAATAGGGACTGTAGATTCTAGGTAGCAAAGATTCTTTCTGAAACCAATGTTAAGTCAAAGAAATATAAAGCAGGGCATTACACTAAATTTCTGGATCTAGTACACTAAACAGAGTGAAACCTAGGAAAAGTTACCTACTGTTTTATAGAAGAAATAAAGACCTGCAGAAGCTGATTTTTGGTTGTATTTTACACACTGTGTGGATCTGCGGCATCTGCTGACCGAAGCAGACATGCACTGTATATATCCCTGCCCGATATCCTAGGTCCCTCCCCCCCACCCCCGACAATCTACTACCTTATACCAAGTATTGTGGATATGAGCCCAAGTCATCCCAGACAATCCAGTGAACAAAGTTAGTGTAATGCACTGGTGTGAAGTGTGAGATAAAAAAAAAAGTCCCTTTCAATCTTCATCAAAGTTTTGCTGTAGAAGAAAATTGGCAGCCAAGTTCTCATTCTTCTCACAAGCAAAATATGCTTGTATCACAAGTCCTTCAGGAAATCCTAATGCCTTTAACTGAAAGAAAAGAAAGAAAACATATTATGGAGTCATCATTGTTTGAAAACATTCTATAAAGGATGCAAAAAAGCTTAAGAATGTTACATGAACTCATCCCTTCTGACAGTGGAGTTGCTGTACCATTCAAGGGGCGAGACAGCCACTTACAAACTTTGCTGCAGCCACTTACAAACTCTCTGCTCCTAGTTAGAGCTTCAAGGCCAAACAGACACTCTGGTAACACTCACTGGCATTAACACTAAAAATCAGCTGCTGTGGGAGTTTAAAAATAAATGACCCTACAGAAATCTGTAAATCAGATGGCTTTTAGTACATAAGCGGTGAAGCTATGGATGAGAGCAACCTGAGGTGGAGGTGAATTTAACCACCTAATCCAATTATTTGTTGGAAAAAAAAAAAAAAGCCGTATTCTTACTTAGGGTCAAATATCACTCTTAACCTCCTTGCTTTATGAAACACTTTATACTACAAAAATGGGTGGTCAATTATTAGTAATATTACACAACATACTTTTGAAATCAAGACATACAGTATTATGTTTTTATCTGCTTAATTTTCATAGCATTTTAAATGGTGATATGATCCATTTAATTTTATTTTCCTAGTCTATTGAAAATCACTTGTGACTCAACAATCACTGCTTTTAAAAGCTTTTAAACACTCAGGTGAATTAATCTAATCCCCCAGGTACCATACATTTGTCCCTTGCATTAGACTATATCAAGAAAGGCTTTAAGAACCAGGCAAAAGTCCTAATTCAAGAATGATTATATTCATCCATGAAAGGAGAAGAAACTCAAAAATGATCTGTTACTTAGGTCTTGTCCAGATTAAAGCTGGGCTAGCTGAAGTAAAAGGTAGATAGGGCACAATCAAACCATATGCTTTACAGTAAGACACACAATTTAGATTCAAAGACACAAGTATGCTGAAAGTAAAAGGATAGAAAAAGATATATACCATGAAAATAACTACACAAAAAGAGAGCTGAAGTGGCTATATTAATATCATACAAAATAGACTTTAAGATTAAAATTGTTACTAAAAGACATTTTATGATGATAAAACAATCAGAAAGACTTCAAATGCAACAACAGCTGGAGACTTCAATATCCCCAAGTTCTAAAATGAGTAAGAGAAGGCAGAAGACAAGCAAGTAGAAAACCTGAAAAAATACTATAAACCAACCAGACCTAACAGACGTTTACAGAACACTGAACAACGGCAAATTGCACACCCTTCTCAAGGATACACAGAACATTCTCCACAAAGACTACGTCAGGCCGAAAAACAAGCCCCAATGAATTTATAAGGATTAAAATTACACAAATTATGTTCTTTGACCACAATGGAATGAACTTAGAAATCAATAGAAGAAGGATATTTGGAAAATTCATAAATATGGAAATTGATAAAACTCTAATCTACAGATCAAAAAAATGACAAAATTAGAAAATACTCTAAGATGAATGAAAATAAAACGTCAATACACTAAAATTTATGGCATGTTGCTGTAGCAGTTCTTGCAGAAGTTTCTGGTTGTAAATATCTACAGGTATACCTCAGAGATACTGCAGGTTTGGTTACAGAATACTGCTATAAAGCAAATATGGCAATAAAACAGGTCACAAGAATTTTTGATTTTCCAATGCATATAAGTTATATTTACACTATACTGTAGTCTGTTAGGTGTGTAGCAGCATCATGTCTAAAAACCAATGTATATACCTTAATTTAAAAATACTTTATTGCCAGAAGATGCTACCCATCATCTTGACAGTCAAAAACCTTTAGCTGGTAAAAAAGGAATTAACTGCAAAATATAATGAAGTGAGGCACAATAAAAACAAGGTATGCTGTGTAATAAGAGATAGTAAATCAATAATCTAAGTTCACCTTAAGAAACTAGGGGGGAAAAGAAAAGAGGAAACTAAATCTAAAGCAAACAGAAGGAAATAAAATAGAGACTAGAAAAATACAGAATCAACAAAATCAAAAATTCTTGTTTTCCTTTAAATCAACAACATTGACAAACCTTTACTGAATTGACAAAAAAAAAACAACTGAGAATTCAAATGACTAAAATCAGAAATAAATGTGGGAACATTATCATTACTTTTTACAGAAATGAAAGCAACAATAAGGGAATACTAAGAACAGCTGTATGCCAACAAATTAGACAACGTATATCAAACAGACAAATTTCTAGAAAAACAAAAACCACCCTGACTCAAGAAAAAAAAAAAAAAAAAACAGAAAACCTGAACAAATCCTATGACAAGAGTCTTAATTAATAATCACAAAACTTCCCCCAAAGCCAGGCCCAGATAACTTCACTGGTGAACTGTACCAGCAATTTAAAGAAAAATTAACACCAATTCTTCATTAACTCTTCCAAACGAGAGAAAAGGAGGGAACACACTCCGTAAGACCAGGACTAGCCTGACACCAAAACCAGACCAGGACACCACAAGGAAACTACAGACCAATAATACTTCTTATGCATGAAGATGCAGAAATCCTCAACACATCACTAGCAGACCAACTCCGGCAACACGTAACAGCATTAAACACCACGACCACAGAGAATTCATCTCAGGAATGCAAGGTTGAGCCAACACAGAAAAATCAATCAGCACAACAAAGTATACTGACAGAAAAAGGGACACAATCACATGATGATCTCAGTCAACACACAATCTGACAAAATCTCACAACCTTTGTGATAAAAACGTCCACTGTAATAGAAACAGAAGAGAACTTCCTCAACCTGATGAAAGGAATCTAATGAAACCCACAGCTAACATCAAACTTAATACTTCATTTTCCTCTAATATCTGGAACAAGATAAGGATGTTGGCTCTTATCACTGCTATTCAACAATAGAGGAGGTCCTAGCAGGACAATTAAGCAAATAAATATATATACATAATATGTAATAATAACAAACAAAGGACAGCTGAACTGAAAAAGAAGTAAAACTATGTCTACCTTCAAATGATCTTACATATAGAAATCCTAAGGAACACACACAAACTAAGAATTAACAAATGAGTTCAGGAAGGTACACAAAATTGTGTTTTGGTATACAAAACTGCAAGAAACACAAAATGTATCTCCATGTAACAATGAACAATCCAAAAACTGAAATTAAGAAAACAATTCTAGGGACTTCCCCAATGGTCCAGTGGTTAAGACACCATGCTTCCAATGCAGGTGTCATGGGTTTGATTCCTGGTCAGGGAACTAAGATCCCACATGTGTTGGTGTGGCCAAAAATAAATAAATAAACAAAAAGAACACAATTCTATTTATAACAGTGTCAAAGAATAAAAATACTTAGAAATAAATTTAGCAAAAGAAGTACAAACTGAAGATTAAAAAATTTCTGAAGGAAATTCAATACGGAAAGACATCCCATTCCATGTTCATGGCTCGGTAAAGACTTAATATTGCCAACACGGCAACATCCCCAAATTCATCCACAGAAAAAAAAAAAAAGCCAAACCAAAAACACAAACACAATTATTTATCAAAATTCCATCTGGTTTTCTTTATGGAGAAATTGGAAAAGCTAGTATTAAAATTGATATGAAAATGCAAGGGATCCAGAATAGCCAAAATATTGGGAGAGAAGAAAAAATATGGAGTGCTCACATTTCCCAATTTGAAAGCTTATAAAGGAATAATCAAGACAACGAAGGATTGGCATAAGGATAAACATATGACCAATGGAACAGAACTGAAAGCCCAGAAATAAACAATCATACTTATGGTCCATACTTATGGTCCAACAAGGATGCCAAGATAATTTAAAAAGCAATATTTTCAGTAAACGGTGCTGGGCAACTGAATATTATATAGGCGAAACATATCAATCTAAACTCCTACACCTCACACCATAAACAAAAAGCTAACTCAAAATGGAGCGTAGACACTTTTCATTACATAGATTTAATAAGAGCTATAAAACTCTTTGGGGAAAACAGAGGCTCAAGTCTTCTGACCTTGGGTAAGGCAATGTTCTCTTGTACGACACCAAAAGTGAAAGCAACAAAAAGAAAATTTCTCCAACACAGAAATCAAGAACTAACAGTCTCAAAAAGAAAAAAAAAAAAAAGTTACTATAGAACAAGTGAGGCAATTGTCTACTGTCTATTATTTGAGGGGGTAAAACAGCACAATATATAAAGTATCTTTTAAGAAATACTAGTTATAAACCTTGAACACTTATATGCTTATGTCATAAAGACAAATTAAAGCTCAGATGGTTTTCTAAGTATTAAGTTATGTAATATGCAATTTCTCTGATTTCTACCTCAAAACACTTCATAAGGTAAGATAGGGCAAGTACTATGATTCTCTATTTACATGGGGCCCAGAGAAGATGACTGACTAGTCACAGTATCATAAAAATTGGGTTACTGTAATGGCACAACCTGTATGGGTTGACCTGATAAGGGTGAAAAGAGACTCAGAATATCAGATTCTGACATTCACTATACATATTTTATATAATTCACACATATATATTTACATTTAGATACAGTGAAATAAAATTTGAAATATAAATTTAAAAAAGGATAACCTTGAATTGAGCATATACTTTTTTCTTCTTGAATTTTAAAACATCAATGAAATCTTTAGCTTGATATATTTATAACAATTTCATGCTAGACTGGTATTTAATGCTGGTCCTTGGGCCTCACAAAGAACTTGATGGAGAGTAGGGCTGAGAAGAGACTGCCTCCACTGCAATCCCTACATGAATAATGCCCTATTTGGCTCCGTGCAATAGGAGCTATCTTCCACGATGCAAATACTCTACATCTAGGCTACCCAATGCAGGAGCCACTAACCCCAGTGACTACTGAGCATTTGCAACATGGCTAGTGTGACCAGGAACTGAATTTCTAGGTTTCACTTAAACTCACCCTTTCTATAGCTTCTTTCTCCTGAGGCGTTACTTGAATGTAGTTCATGTGACCACTTCCAGCTTCTGCGATGCCGCCACTGCCACCTCCACCCCCTCCTCCTTGACCACCAGCTTCCTGAACTGGTTCATTTAACATCTGAATAAAATGCTCCTGATGCTGGCTAATTTGCTGCAGTGATTTAAAGAACACAAGAACAACACATTGATATAAAGCCACCAGAGCAGCTCTTTGCAGGGAAATAAGAACTCCAATACAATTAAGAGAGAAAGCTACAACTCTGCAATTGCATTATTTTAGAATGATTCTGGGTTAGTCAGTCTTTGGAAGGATGTGATTTCTTGCACATTAAAGAAACTCAGTATTTCTGAGGGAGGTAAACAGTGAAGAATTAAAAGAATCCAAATTCTCTTTCATAAACATTCCACCCTCCATTACTATTAAAAAACTACTTGATGGCTAAAAGAAAAAACAAATTATATATGTCTATATATTTTCATCTTGCACAATTAGCAGGCAGTAGAATGCTACTCGAAACTCAAATACTTCATGACCTGAACAATAATATAAGCCCAGAGGTATGTTTTCTAAGAGGCAGCGCACCTCTAGTAATAAGCTTGAGAAAGAGAGATTTAGAAAATTAAACATTTCTTATTGCGAAAGTTTCTTATATTCTTTAATAAAGTGTTTCCCAAACTTAGTATTTGACTAAATTAACCCCACCCCACCCCCAATTCTCTTTTTATGAGTACCTCTATAACACTCTCCTGAAGGTAGCTTGGAAGAACAGTTTATACACCTGGCAGAGGCAAAGGAGTGCTCACTGACTTCCACAAAATGTAATACATCCTAACCATTTTTGAAACTGATTAAACAGTCACCTGAAGTAACTGAGGATTTTCTCGACCTATCTGTTGTAGCAATGCTGGAAGCAGGGAAGGATTCTGTTGAATAATTTGTCTCATCTGTTGAAACTGAGGCTGATTCCGTAAAAATTCAAGAGGGTGTCCTAAAATAAACATGAACATTTTTAAACAAAAATAACAAACATAATTTAGACAGCAAACACTGTGAAGAAAAAAAATGATTTGAGTTCTAAGATGTATATAAAATGAAGTAAGTAATGACAATCTTCAAACTGTACCAACTTCCAAGTCTTATACTGCAGAAATTGTTCCTACTAGCTCAGGTAGAGAGTGCGTTTGCCAGGTGGTACTAGTGGTAAAGAACCTGACTGCCAATGCAAGAGACATAAGAGATGTAGGTTTAACCCTGGGTTGGGAAGATCCCCTGGAGGAAGGCATGGCAACTCACTCTAGTATTCCTGCCTGGAGAATCCCATGGACAGAGGAGCCTGGCGCGATACGGTCCATGGGATTGCAAAGACATGACTGAAGCGACTCAGCACAGCACAGCACACAATGTAGAGAGAACAGAACACTAAAAGAATGAAGTTTTCCTACAACTGCCTTGGGCACTCAATTTATCAAATAATACTGAGAACCTGTGCCCTGCATATACTCTATAAAAAGTATTAAAAGTTGTTTCTGATGCTCGAAAGTTCCTAAAAAATATACATATCAAAACTAAGAAACACACAAAAAACCTACCATCTTTAATTGTATACAAAAGAATTATGTTTTTGAGGTTATGAAGATTAGTGGGAATTTTCTAGATGTACATTGTCATCTCCTGAATTATTCAAGACAATCATTCAAATTAAAATGGCCACAGAGCATGGTTATTTACTCTTCTTTGTATAACACTAGTTTTATAGAAGAAAACAAGACTCAGAAATTAAGTTATCCAATAAGTGCCACTGAACGGGACAGCACCCCAACCCTGAACCAAAGCTCTGCTTCCTCCATTTCCATGCTGAATCTCAGGAAATGAAAGCTTATCTTCTGGGAGACTGTACAGAAAATGCTTAGGGATTTTTATCAACCAGAGCTGACTGCCATAAATAGAGCTAGGAAATACATAAAGGAATGATCTCTTCAAAATTAACAGTTTGAATTACTTTATCAATCTTACAGAAGAAAGAATGAAAGAGAACATGCCCAGGCCTATCACAGGCTCTAGACTTTGCTTTCTAGTCAAACCTTTGCCAACGCCAAGTGGGTGCTGGTCAGTAAAGATACCTGAATTCAAGCTTTGCTTTCACCTCTAGATACAAGATATTAAATATACTAGGTTTTATTTTCTTGGTTCTATAATAACCATTAAGATCCTACTGGCTTTGGAATTATATTTTATGATATTTATAAGGAGAGAAAGAGACAAGGTTCACAAACCATTCTGAATGCCTTCAGAATATAACACTAAATGCAAGCCAGGAAGCATTTCTTCCTTAGAATGAGCTAAAGAGAATATGTCTGTTACCAAAACTGCAGCGATGAAGTTTAATATAAGAGTATCTTTTATATCCACGTAGTACAGTTTCTTCTGGGCCCTTCTCTAACACTAAAAGAGATGTTAAGAACTATGATGCTCTGAGAATGAACATCACCTCAAAAGTATTTCAGGTTAAATTATTTTACACTGAAGATTCATGCCATTTCTTCCCCATCAAAAGATCCCACTTTACCTCCAGAACTTGTGGTTGTAGTTGCTGCTGTCGTAGCTGCTGCGGCTGCTGCCACTGAGGACTGAGGAGCCCCAGTACTAGCTGCTGGAGGCGGGTCAACCACAGCCTGGCTTTCTCTGTCTCCAGGGATTCCCTGTAACATAATTTCCAAGCTTTAGAACAGTTCATCACTCAAAGTTACTAAGCTAAATATTACACAGAATAAGAGACTTTGCAAGTCTATTCAATATCCTTGTCTAATTTCTAAAAGCATCAAACAGATGCCTGCTTCAATTCAAAGTAAAGGATAAAGACAAACAAAATCTGCACATATTCAAGATTAGAAACGGCCTCAATGTGGTGCGGACGAATCTGTATTGTTGTTACATACAGCAGCACTGACCAACGGAACTCTTCATTACGGAACACCTCTGTATTTATGTTGTCCAATAAAAATATCCATTAGCCACAAGCAGCTACTGAGACCTTGAAATGTGGCTAATGGTACTAAGACACTTAAAGCTGTGTGGTATGGCCCAAAAGAAAGAAAGAAAGAAAAAAGTAAATGGGTATAAAAGAATCTTTAACTTTTTGAGTGGTAATTTTTCTAAGTTCGTGGCATTTATCTTCTGAAGTTATTATAACTTAAAACTGCACTAAGATTTTTGGAATATCCTATTTTGATAAAAATGATTTATAAGACTTCTCATATATAGCTTATCAGATCTTTATGCAATCCTTATAGGTTTTAGAAGGAGAATAGAGGAGAAAATATTGTATATGAATATGAGATGGTTACAGTAATCACTTCCATTTCCCAGTAAATCAGAAGCCAAAATCATAAACATATAAAGAATGAAGGACAATAAATAGCAGGATAATAATTGCTATATTAGATGTTCCCTCTAGGCACTGCGAACCACCCACCAATTCAACCCCTTAAATGAGGAGCTATCAAGTGTGGTCAAACTATATACAGATCAAGGGTCCAAAGGCCTCCATCAAATTCTCAAACAAGTTAGTTAAAATAAAAAGTTAATCACCACTGCTACAGATCTACCTCAAATTCTCACACACAGTATTTAGCTTTTTGTTAGATCATTACTTCTTTCTATACACTCACTTTCACTTATATAGTCATCAAAAACTAGCAAAAGTTAAAAGCATCAAAACAGATGCCTGCTTCAATTGAAAGTAAAGAGTAACTGTTTCATGAACCTCTCATCTATTCATTTGCATTTGATGCTAAATAGTAGCAACTGTGAAAATAGTAATTCATTTTTTAAACTTCAAGATTTCAAATCTATTGGGTCAAAATATTTGATGACACCATTAAAATTATGCAGAATTCCAAAATCAGGTATAAATTAAAGTCATTCTATAAAAGGAAAGGCAATGTTTTTATGTAATACATGTTTTTGGGGGGAGGAATGAGGGGCAACCATAAACAGATCCACAATAACTATCAATCCAGTCTGATTTCTCAATTTCAAACTGATAATTAAATGAACTGTCAGTATTTTACAGACTTTCAAGAGGACAATGGAGAAAAGAATTCAAAAGATAAAATGATATGCTAAGATTTTCTGAACCTCATGCCAGTAAGCAGGAAATGACTGGAGGAGAAGCAGTTATCTGCTCATGACGGGGACTCTTCTGAAACTACTCTCTGAAAAGGAGCTTCTACCAGAAGCACAACTAGAAACAAGGAATGGATTCAACTGTGAGCAGTATTCTCCAAGGAGTTAGGATCTGAGATGATGTTTAGTGTAATTCAGACTTTTGATAATATTCTAACAGACCAAAGACTAAACGTTAATCCAATATTATTGCAAACTTTGCTTTTGATCTGTGTCACATCTGTAAAACAGACATTCATTGTCATAAATATCAAGGGTTTCAGTCCATACCCTTAACAATCTATTTCTCAAAAACTTTTATTAGTAGAGGAGTCTACAACCTAAAGTTTTCTCTAAACCCTTGTGAAAATCTGGGATCTGAGTTGTCCAGATAAATCAGATTATCTGAACTTTTCAGCAAAATCTCCCAATTTTTAAAAACTAGCTAGACCTAATTACAAAAACTTAAATAGTACAAAATTTGACTTGGACTTTCAACTTGAAACTTCCACTCTACACAGTACATCCAGGATCATGTTTGGCAGGCAAAAAAGCTACTAAAATGCTGGATTCAATCAGTTTTAAAACCTGCTCCACCACCAGCCCTTTAACACACAGCTCTCATCCTTAGAGGATGGTGTAACTGGGTTAGACACTACTACTCCAAGTGGATAGCCAATTTTAAAATTCATTTAGTTACATTTTCTGATTCAGTCTTATCACAATCTTTTAGAAGAGGTTATACTTTATTAACAGAAAATGTTAATGCACTAAGAAAAGTACTGGGTTGACCAAAAAGTTTGCTCTGATTTTTCCATAAGATATAATGGAAAATCCCAAAAGAACTTTTGGAAAACCCAATAAATGTCAATAAAAGCATTATGCATTATGCATACATCATTATTATCTTATGAACTGCTATTGTTTCTTTAAAATTTCTGTTTCTTTGAGATTTCATTCTTAAACAACTAGAACAAAGAAAGCAAAATGTTTCTCACCATTAAGAGATACTCCACGGCTCTGTCAGGGTTGTTGAAACTGGCTCTCAGGGCTGCAATTACTTGCTCTCGTTCATAGCCCATTGACATGATTTCAGTTACCATATTCTCGTAAGACTGACCTGTCACTAAAAAAAGATGTGTGTGTGTGGATGGAAGAAGGGAAAGAGGAAAAGAGAAAGAAAATTTAATAAACAAACATTCTCCACACAATTTCAGTGTGTATGCATGTATACACTGTCAGGCACTACAATGTTAGGAACACAACAATGAGTAACTAAAACACATGTACAACTACTACAACATACATGTGGTAGGTAGAATAATTCACCTCCTCCCATCCTTAGAAACTATAAATAAGTTAGGTTACAAGGCAAAGGGGAACTGAGGTTGCTAATCAGCTGACTTTAAGATAGGCAAATTATCCTGGATTACCTGGGTGGGTCCAATGTAGGGATAAAGGTCCTTAAAAGCAGAAGGGAAGCAGATGAGAGGGTCAGAGAAATAAGTGGGGGCAAGGCAGAGAAAAAAGCAGGGGCAGAGATGCTATGTACTTCCTTGAAGACAGAGGAAGGAGCTATGGCCAAGGTACGTGGTCAGCCTCCTAGAAGCTGCAAAAGACACAGGGCAGATTCTCCCCTAGAGGCTCCAGCAAGGAATGCAGCTCTGATTTTAGCCCAGTGATTTAGTCCCTTTATTTTAGTTCAGTGAGCTCCACATCAGACTTCTAGCCTACAGTAAGGTAATAAATGCGTTGTGTTATACCACTAAGCTGTGATACAGAGCAGCAATGGAAAACTAATACAGTATGTTAAACATATAATAAAAATATCAAGCACAAAGGTAACACAAACACAAACATTAGGAAGTCAAGGCTGGCAACCTGGAAGAGGACATAGATGAACTGATTTTTGAAAGCAAGAAGCAGGGACATTTCAAGCAATCAATTGTACTGTAATAAGTTGTTTTCCTTTGACACCTTTTACTATCAAAGTGGAGGGGGAAAAGGGGTTGGAAGCAAGAAAGTCAGAATGTCTCATACCATATAAAATGGTACAATTATCTCTGTAAATCATTTCCCAGAGATCTCTCCAACCCCAACTCACTCTTCATGGAAATGTCAGACAAAACTAATTTAAAGCAAGTTTTCCTAACACCTAGTGATGATGAGCATCTTTTTATATTTCTGTTGGACTTTTGTATATCTTCTTTGTTGAAATAGCTATTCAAGTCCTTTGCCCATTTTAAATTTTCTTTTTTTACTTTTTACTATTGAGTTGTATGAGTTCTTTATATATCAAGGATGTTAACCTATCATATACATATATATGGCTGCAAGTATTTTCTTGCCCTTCCATAAGTTGTCTTTTTACTTTGTTGATGGCAAACTTTTCAATGAAGTTCTAACAGCTATGAAAGTATAGCTTAAAAAACTAAGTATCACTGAGCAAATTCAACATTTGGTATCTTGTTTAATGACTTTTCCCTTCCTATTCCATTAAGTACTTAAGCTATTTCAACTTTTTAATTACCCACTGATACAATTCTAGCACAAAGCATTCAAGTGTCAATATACTTTCAGTAATCTAGTTCTCAGATACAGAAAACAGTATCAATAATAAAATTTTTATTAAGTGCTGTGGAGTATAGTGTTTCTCACTCAATTCTCACAAGAACTCTGTAAGAAAAGTTTACTTTCCCCTCCTTTTAAACATAATGAGGCTAAGGCTTATTAGAAAGAGTAACAGTTTGATCAGCGGCTATTAAGGCATGGTGCAGACACAAACACAAGCTGTCTAGACCCTAGAGCTCCCACACCTAATCCGTAATGCCATGCCTTCTAATTAGTCAAGTTATAAAAACTCAAACAGAAGTGTCTACATGCAGGCTGGGTACATTTTAGATCCTAAAGGTAAGAGAGAAATGACTCCTCGGAAAATTAGGGATAATGGACAACATCAGACAGAGCTAATGAGACTGAAGAAATAGTGATGAAGAAAATGTGATTACCAATGAATTCTGAACTTATCATTTAGGATAGGAGGTGTTGTGAAAGGAACAATGACCTCATTAGACCTGGCTTTTAGAAACTCCATTGTGGCAAGAAATAGACCAATTAAGAGAATAATAGAATACTAGAGCGTCAGGAAGGTAGGGACGTGTGAGCTGAGGCAATTAAGTGGTAGGAGAAACAAAGATTTCAGAGTACTTTAGGAAGGAGATCAACAGGACTCCTAGTCTCACTGGCCAAGAGAGGAAGAGGTCAAGGTTGATGCTAATACTTTGGCAGAGTGTGGATGATGATGGAAGCAAGAAAGGAACAAGAGAAAAGAATCAGAGGAATAAAAAATTTGTCAATTTTGAATCTAAGGAATTTATGGAGGTTAAAGGTTTTCCAGCTGGCAGCTTAAAGAATGAGACTCGGAAGTCAAGAGGGATATACGTACTGGAGTTTTAATTTTGAGAATCCTTAAAAGTACAGCTGACCCTTGAACAATGTAGGCTTGAACTGTGTAGGTCCACAAATAATCGGATAACTGCATTCCTAGTATGCTTTTATGTGACCCATGGCTGGCTGAATCTGCAGACGCGTAACTATGGATAGAGGCCTGTCCATAAAGTTATAGATGGATTTCTGACTACACAGAATTGATGGCCCTAACCCCTGTGCTATTCACGGGTCAACTGTGTGTGGGTGGTATTTACTATTCCCATGGTCTGAACTTTGAACTATGACCTAGAGGAGAATCCTAGAAAAAAACCCATACATTTAAGGGCCAGGTAAGACAGAAAGAATTAACCAGGAAGCCTGAGGAAGGAACAGTCAGAGATACAGTTCAAGAAAAGAGGTATCACAGAAGCCAAAGAAGAAACATTTAAAGAAGCAGGGTATCAACGTAAAGACTGGATGGATTAAAGATTAAAGGGTAAAGGGATCCTGAGACCGTAATGGCAGTTATAAGAGATGCAGATATGAAAAGGGAAGACACCACCACCAGAGACCACAGCAGGGGCAACTAGAGCTGTGCATTCCTGGGCTCCTGCCAGGAGCGTCAACGCATTCCAATTGACGCGTAACAGCAACAGCCAGAGCCTCCAACAGCATCACGGAGAAGTGCAGGCCGGTTCCAGCTCTGAGGCTACAGAGCATTTTACACATCCCTGGGTCATCTTGAGCTGTTCCAGAACCTCTGTAACCATTTCCTAAGATTAAGCTTTTACTGTTTGAAATAGAGTGATTTCTGTTTTCCTGCTTGCTGGACACTAAACTCATACTCAGATGGTGGCAGAGTAATCCCAGAAAAGTCCTCACAGGTATGAATGTGGGTTTGGTACATCCAGGTGATCTTAGGTTGATTAAACAATTATTTTGCACCTATGTGCTATGGGCAACTAGCCAGCTTTTTACATGGCAATCAGGGCATCACAGAGTTCAAGCTCAATTAGCTCAGAGGGCCAACTCCGTATCTTATGCGATACTACTGCTATTGGAATCTTGCTGCTGCGGCAGCTACACAGAGAATCCAGAAGCCCATACTCTACGGAAGCTGCCATTCCCACCTGCTCCCAGCCCTCCACCTCCCTACCATTGCCTGTAGTACAGAAGAGCACCAAAGGGCAGGAGCGGGGTTGCCAGCGAACAGACCAATAATGAGCGCTTACAGCAGGCACTGTACCAGGGACAGTCACAACGGGAAAATGGGCAAAAAACCCAAAACTCATTTTGACAGATGTAAGTGTGAAGGGAAGATGGAAAGACATTACTCAACAGGTAAAAAGTCAGGATAAAAAGGCATTTTCACTGTAAGTACAATACAAGCAACAAGATGCGGATGGGGACCTACAGGGCTACAACTTGGAATAAAGACTGGAGGAGAATAAAGACGAAATGTGAGACAGATTTCATAACATCTTACACTCATTTCAAAGACACTTCATAATAAACCTATACACAGATTAAACTTCATTTTAAAACCCATATTTAGAAAATGGAAAATGTATCTGCTTTAAAGAAAGAAGTATGCTTAACTCTTAACAGCACAATTTAAATGATTTAATATGTAGAACATTAATTTACAAAGTCTTCAGTAACACCAATTATCTAAATCATTTAACTACCTGACTATAAACAACCATGAAAATGAATACTTTCATGATCTAGAGAAATGAAACCTCTTCCCTCTTATAAAGTAATTTACTATGTAGACACTTACCAAGTGCACTTGTTGCATCTTCAAAAAGGTTTGACCGAGAAGAATCACCTGATATACTGTAAAATGTTTTCAGAAAATCATGTATCAGAAAGTATGTAAAATTTACCTTAAAGCTTAGCAACTGTCCAATTTATACAGATTCTTTGATTTTAATTAAATATATAAGTCTGGCTACAGTGTTTAAAAAGGCTTCCAGATTAAAATACAAAGCTTTATCCATAACATTTATGGCTTGGGAAGAATTTTAATACTCATTCTGCTCTGCAAATCCATCATTTAAAGAACTTACAAAAGTTAAATAATCTGTTTAAGTCAAATCACAGTCAAAGAAATACCAAAAGCTGTACGTGATAAACAGCACACATAGAAACTGCATTTGGCTGGAAAGGCCTGGGAAGTCTTTATACAGTAGAATTTCATTTAGCTCTTATAGTTAGGTTCTGAACACAGAAAAATACTGCAAGATAGTATTCAAACAAGGAACACAGCATTAAAAACATGCAGAGGTGGGATGGACCCGAGTTGTAACCAAGTTTTAAACCAGTTTAAAAGGACTAAGTTTTCATGGGACTTCCTTGGTGGCCCGGTGGCTAAGACTCCATGCTCCCAATGCAAGGGGCTGGGGTTTGATCCCTGCCAGGGAACTAGATCCTACATGCCACAACTAAGACTTGCTGCAACCAAATCATATTAAAAAAAAAAAAAAAAGCAACGGAGGCATCTCCTGATCTCCCAAATATATTAAAAAAACAAAAGGACTAAGTTTCTGTTAGGCAACTGAAGAAGATGAGCCTAGAAAACAAAGTAGACACAAATACAATAATGAAAGACCAGGAAGAGAAGGCCAAAGAAAAATGAGGTTTACAAAACTGGTAAAGACAGTAGTTAGCAATTTAAATTACAACATACACAAACACAATATACACATATACCTGTGTCCCAATTTTACAAATGAAACTCAGTAGACTTCAGTTCTGAGAAAACTCTACAGCACAGCAAGACAACGGAAATACCTAACTTTGAATTCATAAATTACTTTGTAAGCTTCAGTCAGTTCTTCCCCAATACAATGAGGTCCAGCAATAGTACCCTTGTATCCCCCGGGTGCTTTGGGCAGGGTTACTGCTGCCAAGTGCCTGGCATCCTAACACTCAACAAGATTGGTAAGTGTAAACAATAATTTGGTATAATTTTCAACGTACCTTCATTAACTAATGTATAGAAGGCAAAACTTTAAAATGAAGTTTTTGAATTATAGTTCAACACTATATACATATATGGGAAAAAACTTTCCTGCCCTGGACCCCTACCCAGAGACAACCACTACCAGTAGTTTCTATATATTCACTTGTGTCTTACTGTTGTGTTTTGGAATAAACGCATGTCAGAAGAACTACAATTGCCTCAATTTTTCCCAGAGAGGCATGACATTCCATTTAATTGATCAAATTAAACTAGTAAGAATCTGTTTGGTTTCCAATCTTTAAATTCTTTCTGTACTCAAATTTATTAATCATTTTTTTCATGACTTTTTTGCATTAACATTGTTTTTCCCAAGGTCTCCTCTAGTTTATGATTTCACTTCTACATTAAATCTTTCTCTATTTAAAATTTACTCTTTTTTTCTTTGTGCCACACTGTGCAGTATATTCCCCCACCAGTTAATCAAACCCATGCTTACGGCTTGCAGAGCCGTAATAACTAAACCACAAGGGAAGTCCCTAAAACTGATTTTTATAAGATGACCTCCACGTGGCTAGACATTTACCCCATCAGCATTTCCCAGAGTGGTCTGAAATTATTCTTATCTCATATTAAGTCCCTGTATGCATATTGGTCTGTTTCTAGACTACTATTTCACCAAGTAGCCCTTCTAATAAGAGCCATTCTAAATTTGTAATCACTACCATGCATAATACGTTTTATTATGTGGCAGAATTAATTAGACCCCTCATTACTGTTCTTTTATAGAACAATCTGTGCTGTTTTTGCATACTTTTTTCTTTTTAAACCTTACAGATAACACTGAGATACTGTTTACTGCTACTGCTAAGTCACTTCAGTTGTGTCTGACTCTGTGTGACCCCATCCCTGGGATTCTCCAGGCAAGAACACTGGAGAGGGTTGCCATTTCCTTCTCTAATGCATAAAAGTGAAAAGTGAAAGTGAAGTCGCTCAGTCATGTCTGACTCTTCGCGACCCCATGGACTGCAGCCTACCAGGCTCCTCTGTCCACGGGATTTTCCAGGCAAGAGCACTGGAGTGGGGTGCCACTGCCTTCTCCGAGATACTATTTAACCACCATTCAAATCCTGATTCTGCCTCAGCACTCCTCCCCTTCCCCAGGGGAGACCATCTCATCAGTTAGTGTGATGTCCCTCTGCCACTGTCTCTCTGCACATTAACATGCTCACTCACAGAAAATATCAATGTTGTCATGTGGTTTTTGTTTGGTTTATGGTTACTGACTCTACTGTTCTGCAATCTGCTTCTTTTCACTTGATAACAAAGCCTTGAGACCATATTCATTTAATATGCATATATACTGCATACTTTACCTGGCCTACAGTACTGGATATTAGAGTTTCTTAAACTTTAGGAAGACTTAAGAATTCACCAGGGTTACTATTTAGTCATTCAAGTCGTATCTGACTCTTTGAGACCCCATGGACTGCGGCATGCCAGACTTCCCTGTCTTTCACTATATCCCTAGGGGACTCTACTAGAATTCACTAGTAGAGCTTGTTAAAAACAGACTTCGAGGACCCACGAGTACAGAATTCTGATTTATAGAGGTCTGGGGTGGAGCCTAAGAATTTCAGAGTAACTCCCAGTGATGTTGATGCTGCCTGTTTACCACCACACTACGGAGAATTCCATGGACAGAGGAACCTGGCAGGCTATAATCCATGGGGTCGCAAAGAGTTGGACATGACTGAGCAACTATCACTCAATATGAATAAGCCCAGTTCTCTAATATGAACAAATAACAAGTCAAGTCATGCTCTTACTAATGGAATTTAAGTTAGTTCCAATTTGTCCTCAATTACAAGCAATACAGTCCCTGTGCACAAGTTTGATTTCTCTACAGTAGACATCAAGAAGTGGAATTTGCACTGTAATATGTAGTCTTTACTGTCATCTACACTTTACAGATGAGGAAAAATCCAAAGATGTTAATTTCTTTTCTAAGGTTGCTGCTGCTGCTAAGTCACTTCAGTCATGTCCGACTCTGTGCGACCCCATAGACGGCAGCCCACCAGGCTCCCCTGTCCCTGGGATTCTCCAGGCAAGAACACTGGAGTGGGTTGCCATTTCCTTCTCCATTTCTAAGGTTAAGACCAAACAAATATCAGACCCGAACACAATACTATGTAGCAACTGGAAAAACTTACTGATATGGAAAGATGTTGATGACAAATGTGACAAGTCAAATAATATACAACAAATAATGATTGGGGGACAATGTCAAGTTGTTTATATGTCAAGCTATAATATACTGTCAGGTTATTTTATAATTCTTATTCTTTTGCATCATTTATATTGCCTAACTTTTCTATACAAAGTTTTTTTCCTTTCTCCCTAGGAGAAAACAAAAATCCAATTATGGAAATTTAAACAGACATAAAAAGCACACTATTTTAGTCAGAGTTCAAAGTTCAGATCGAATGTTTGATTCACACATTAATCAAAATAAATACATGCATGACGTACTGTTATGAACATACTCCTATGCAATTTCCTAGAGTCCAGTTCTTACCTGTCAGTTGATGTTGGGGTAGTGGCCACTGGTGTTTCTACCGGCCTCTCTGCAGGCTTCTCTTGTTTCGTTGCACTAGCAGGTGCAGGTTCAGAAGATGCTATCGTTGATGCTGGAGTGACAGATGCAGGTGTGGGAGTGGGAGCCAAAGTGGGGGCAGGAGTTGGGGCCTGAGTCACAGCTGGTGCTGTGGAGGAACTAACTGTGGCGGTGGTGGCAGAATTTGATTGCTGAGTTGTGGCTGGCGCTGGTGTTGTCACTGCTTTGGGCTAAACACATTACAAAGCAAAACCATGCATTATGATAAAATACTACATTACCACCTGACCTCTGGATGCTATAAACAAACATAACAATACTAATACAAATTTGTAGATTTAAAACAATTTTGCAAGGTGACATAATGAGTAATCAACAGCAGCAATCTGAGTCATCATTTATGTTACACTTTCAAAGCTGGTAAGTGCATATATATCAACTCTCAATCTCAATTAGTTCTAGTCAATGGTTTCAGTCTTAGGATCATTATGAAAAAGAACCAAAAAAGCAAATATTTTACAACATAAAGAATGTATATACCCAAAATAACTAAATAAATAAAAGAAACACATAATTCACCCCCAAACTTCATAATTAAAGCTTCTTGGTTGCAACTTCAAAGTATTTATTGTCATTTGAAAGAATTATGAAAATAACTTCCTTGAAATTAAAGTATAAACAGAAGTATGATTAATGAACATGCCAGATAATCTGCTGTATTTTAGAAGAGGGAAGAAAATCCCAATGTTGACCAGAAGCCAACAGATTTAAGTACAAAGAGACTAACACTACTTTTGAGACGTAGACATAGTTAAACAGAGGCCAAATAAAGTTATAACTGCATGCTCAGCACTTTCTGAACTAAAATCAGAGCCATAAGTATTCCAAGCAAAAAGCAGTTACATATGAGTAAAAATCATACTATATGAGTTTTATCTTTCTCTGAAGGCCTATTAACGCTCACGATCTACTTAGTTCATAACTTTCCTAAGGTAAAAAGGTAACTGATTTTCTGGAAGATGAGATTAAAATTCAATATAGTTGCCCCAAGTATAAATCAACAAACTGTAAATGAGTGGATTTGTGTCTTACTCTAATTGAGCTAGTATAGAGTGTATTGGAAAAAAATGTCTTGTGCAAGGTAGGGGGATGGGATGTAGCATTTGCTCCCTCCTTTGCCTGTATTAAGAGTCTGAATTTGGCTCTGTAATTTTTATTGCCAACGTAATTCCCTGCAAATTATTAATGTTCTATAACTCCAACCAGATAAGAATGTAATTTAAATGCATTCTGCCCATTTACTATTTCCCATAAGATCAAAATAATACTGTGATTATATATGTATTAGCTATATATATAGTGGATCATATATGTATTATATAATTATATGTTTTATATATTATAGTTATATATGTAATTATGTATTATATATAGTGATCAATATAATAGTACAATATACCATGTCCTCAAGGTCTCTGTTGCCACAAAGAACTTTTTAAACCTCACTCTAAATAGTACCAAACCTATCTGCTTTTCAAAGGTCCTCTGTTTAACTTTTGATATTAATAGTTTTTTCTCTCTTCTTTGTAATAAGGGAATTTCTCACTGCTTCCAAAATGTTTAACTGCAGCAGTCTTCTTCCCCTTCTAAAAGCTGGCCTAAGTAAAATAAAAATCTGCTTGGCTCCAAAGTGGCTGTTTTTCAAACGCATGCACCTATTCTGAGACCCAGCCTGCTTAACTCTTGGTTCTGTTCTTAAGAGTCAAGGTTACCATAACACTAAAAGAAATAAGACCATAACAAATACATACCCAAATGTCTGTGGCTACCAGACATACTATGTATGATAAAATTAAATGAGGGACTATTATTCAGCCCTAAAAAGGACAAATTCTGGCACATGCTACAATATGGACAAACCTTGAAGACATTTTATGAAGGAAAATATTAATAAACAAGTCACAAAAGGAAAAATACTGTATGATTCCACTTATATGAGGTATAAAGTGTAGTCAAATACACAGACAGAAAAGATAATAGAGGTGTTGGGCTGGGGCATGGCATGGCTATTTATTCTTTAATAGGTACAGAGTTTCAGTTTGGGAAAATGAAAAAAGTTTTAGAAATGGATGGTGGTGATGGCTACGTAACAATGTGAATGTATTTAATGCCAAGGAGCCATACACTTAAAAATGATTAAATTTGTAAATTTTATGTTGTGCATTTTATCAGTTTTTAAAAAAACTAGGTGAGACAAAGTTTCCTCATATGATTCTGTTCATCTGTATTTAAAGTTTAATATTTTAATATATTTTAATAATTAAGTGCTTAAATATATGTAACAAAATATTTAAAAAATTAACCTTAATACACATAAAATGTTTAGCTGTTTTTTGTTTCTCACTACAAAAGTATGCAGTAATTAAAATCCATTTGTTCAACTCTCATTTCCCACTGCATTTTTCCTTTGAGAATTAAAAAGTCTTTGACAAACTGGCTTCCAATTACCATTTAAATTTAGTTTGGGTGCTACAAGTAACATTATTCTTCTCAGATTATTAGGGGTTCAGAATTTAGACCACAATTCAATCTTAAAAGTGAGCGTCGTAAGTGCTGCCACTCCTCTGTTTGTCTTAACTCCCTACTGCATATTTATCTTTCTGTCTTTCCCTTTTTCTAGTTTCTAAAAATCTATCTTATTGACTAAAAAATATCACTGAAATTTTTAGTCTATATGCCTTTTTGGCCTTGAGGCATTTGTTAGGTCTAGTACATCATTTAGCCAAGTCTTTTAAAGGATTCTTAATAAAAACTATAAAATAAGAAACAAGAATCACATTCTCTTATTACATAATTTGTGATTTTACTAATCCAACAATACCTAATAATGTTTAACATGACATTTCATATATCAACTGTTTCAACATATTTAAAATTATGCTCAAACTACAAATACATAAAACTATTCATTTTATGGTTGACTCAAAGCAAACTGTTAACATGCTTAGTAACTATTACGTGCATGCCACTATGGATGTATATATACTGTTTTCACTCAAAAATTAAGTGTAAAGAAAGACTTGGAATTTTTTTTTCTAAACTCACATGGATAAAGATATATATACAAGGAGGCTGAAACTTACTTTTGTCACCATAACTACCACGAAGTTTTTCTCATCAATTTTATATTCTTTTAGAGCAGTATCATCATTGAGGATTTTGCCTAGTACATTAAGAAACAAACATATTATTAAAGGCACCATAAACTGTCTTACACTGAGGTTAAAACAATCATAAACATTAATTTTATTAATTAAAACTCTCCCCAAAGAAAAACATTAACCAATCAGCCAAGATAAACATAAATGGATACAAGATTAGTTAAGAAGGCATGAGCATCTGACTAAAAGACAGCAAACACAAACGTTGTCTGCAGATATCTGAAGCCAAAGCATGTCTTAAAAATTATTTGTAACAATAATAAAAAAAAAGACTTGCTGGGTAAGGAGACATTAACTAGGTCCTGAGAAACGGAAGATCATGAAAACAAATAAAATTCAATTCTGAGATGCTCAAAGATCCACCCCCAACCCGGCCTGGGAATAACCTATAAACCCTCTTAATGGAAGGAGAAAAGATCTTCTTACTCCCACAAATACCGGATACCTGCAACACAGAAATGTTTCACTGCCATAAAAAGTAAGATACTCATAATGACTTGGTACACAGAAATGGCAAGATACAGAACTGAGTAAGCCACATGGACTATGTAAGACTTCAGTCATGCAGAATGACAGATGTAAGGTCAGGATTCCTTCAGGCTTCCTTTTCCTTGAAATTAGTTTTCCATTTTTAAAGTTTTTGAATCAAAAGCTGCAAGCATTAAGACAAAATGGAACAGTGTCTCTGCATAGGAATGAAAACCACAAGCCAAGAATAGGAACCAGAAATTCTAGTTTTCTATCTGCCACCAACTACCTATGCCTCTTCAGGCTTCTGAGTCCTCATCACAGGGCTGGTGTTTCCTCTAAACTACCTCAGTTAAGAAAGTACTACAAAATCTTTATCTAAAAGTAGACAAGAATCCAGGCGTAAGTCAAGATCCACCTTACTGACATCGGCAATCAAAGTGCTCAGTATTTCTTCTAAAGAACACAGAAAACAATTTTCACCACAAAATTCACTTATCAAGTCTATTTTTAATGTACATTTTCCTGGTTATTAGTGAGGCCAGTTAATTTGCAACTTCCTATTCATATCCTTTGTTGTTTTTTAATTGGGTCATCCTTTTCCCTATTGATTTGTCAAGAGCTCTTTATATAATCTGAATATTAATCTTTTTTTCCCCTGTCACTTATTGTATTGTCTTTTGACGTAAGGTTTTCTGTAGTCTTCAGTCAATTTTGGTATTGTATTTGAAAACAGATAAATTTGTCGCTTCCCTGGTGGTTCAGTGGTTAAGAATCCACCTTTCAATGCAAGGGACACTGGCTCAATCCCTCCTCCCAGATGATCCGACATGCCGCGGAGCAACTAAGCCTGCAAGTCGCAACTACTGAGCCCAAGTACTGCAACCACTGAAGCCCATAGGCCTCAAGTCTGTACTCCACAAGATAAGCCACTGCAGTGAGAAGCCCACACACCACGAGGGACAGTAGCCCCTGCTCCGACAACCAGAGAAAGCCCACGCACCAAAGCTAAGACCTACCATAGCCAAAAATAGAACATTTCAACAGATTATAAAAGATGCTCAGTTTGATGAGATAACTAAAGAAAACACATATAGAACAATAAAATTGGACACCTATCTTGTACCACTCACAATGATTAACTTGAAATGGACCAGAGACTTAAACATAAGGGCTGTTACCATAAAACTCCTGAAAGAAAATGTAGGGAAGAAAGCCAGCAACTGTGACTTTGCCAACAATTTTTTGGGTATCACGAAGAAAGCGCACACACACACAAAATTCGACAAATGGACTACATCAAAGTCAAAAGCTTCTGCACAGCAAAATAAACAATTAAAATGAAAAGAATTCTACAGAATAGGAGAAAAATTTCAGAAACTATGTATCTGTTATGTGGCTAATATCCAACGTACATAAAGAACTCAGTAACAAAAAACCCAAACAATCTGTTTAAAAATTGGCAGATTAGATATAAATCAACATTTCTCCAAAGAGGACGTGGAAATGGTCAACAGGCAGATGAAAAGATGCTCCACATCACTAAGCATCAGGGAAATGTAAATCAAAACAAGATACTACCTTACATATGTTAGAATAGCTTCATCAAGGAGACAAGAGGGGCCGGTGAGGTTATGGTGGAAAAAAAAATCTTTATTCACTGTTGGTGGGAATGTAAATTGGTCCAACCACTATGGAGAATATGGAGGTTTCTTAAGAAATTAAAAATAGATCCACCATATGACCCATTGTGTGTATGAGTTATGTCTTTTTTATTTATTCATCCCTTGATGGCCATTTTGGCTTGTTTCCATATCTTAGCTATTGTGAATAGTGCTGCTATAGACATGGGAGTGTATATGTCTTGTCAAAATCCTGTTTTCACTTCTTTGGGTATATACAATATTATTCAACCACAAGAAAGACAGTAACTTCCTATCTGCAACAACATGAATGGACCTTGTGAACATTATGCTAAGCAAGATAAGTCAAGCACAGTATGATATCACTTATATGTGGAAATGTATGTGGAATTTAAAACTCTGAACTTCAAAAAAGAGGTTATTTTACCTTGGTGGTTACCAAGGGTTTGGGGCATGGGGGAGATAAGAGTGATAGTGTTTAAGAGTACAAACTTGCAATGAGTATTAAATAAGCCAGAGATATCTAATGCACAGTATAATGAATGCAGACAATGATATTGTTAATTCTGTAATGTGGTAAATATCACTACCACAGCAATCATATTACAATATGTATCAGAGTTAACACTTTGTACACTTTAGACTTAAACAATGTCACACAAAGTAATTCAATAAAATTTTTTAATTCAAAAAACAAAGCAAAACAAATACAGCCAGTTACACAATGCTTACAAAAGAAAAAACTAACATCACTGGATGGAGAAATACATAAAGCAAATGTGAAAAACAGAGGACTGAATATTAATAAAATAACATTCAAATGACTGTTCATTCTCTGCTTTTATCTCTACAATGTTTCTAACAGAATCCATTTGTATACGCTACAATTCTTAAGATGGTGATTTCTAAAACTAAAAGAATGTCACAGCACACATGAAAATGGCATGTTAATTTCAGCACTGAATTCATACCTGCATAAATTAACTTCTGACCTGCTACAGGAAAGGCATCTTTACCCTTTTCTGATTCAATCTTCTCTTTCAGTGCTCTCACCTATGGGAAAAATTTTAAAATATTTGAAAAATATCTAAACAAAGGAATATCCAGAATCTGAACAAATGATGCAATATAAAAGTTTTATACATACTACTGATTCCAAAAACTTAAAAGATCATGTATTCATAATATTATGTAAAAAAATTCTATTGATAACCCACACTATTAGATATGGTTAAGTATAAACTGTTTTACCATCTATTACACAGATTTTTTTTCTTAAAAGACTTTCTTAGTTGACTTTACAAATCTATTCAAAATAAATCTTTCAAAAGCAGAAACTATGATTCTCATATAAAGTTTATGGGTTTATTTCCCACAGAGTAGGAAAGTAAAGCAAAGCTCTCTAATCTAAAAGGTTTAAGAAATAAAGTGGTCTTGTCTACAATGATAAAAAGTAAGTTAAATGTGAAAGTCATGTGGACTCTGTGGGAGAAGGCGAGGGTGGGATGTTTCAAGAGAACAGCATCGAAACATGTGTATTATCTAAGGTGAAACAGATCATCAGCCCAGGTTGGATGCATGAGACAAGTGCTCGGGCCTGGTGCACTGGGAAGACCCAGAGGGATCAGGTGGAGAGGGAGGTGGGAGGGGGGGACCGGGATGGGGAATACATGTAAATCCATGGCTAATTCATTTCAATGTATGACAAAAACCACTGCAATGATGTAAAGTAATTAGCCTCCAACTAATAAAAATAAATGGGAAAAATAAATAAATAAAAATTAAAAAAAAATAAATGTGAAAGTCAAAAAGCAAAGTATTTACTTTGAAAGTGGCTAATGTTTCATTATAATCACTTGAGGGAGCTTTAGAAAGACCAATTAAAACATAATTCCTGAGTGTGGGTCTGGACATCAATATTCTGTAAAAGCTTTACAGCTGATTTCAAAGTCTGGCCAAGGTTGAGAGCCACTGTATTACTTAAAACGATCTTGAACAAGTTGCTCAGTTTTTCTCAGCATCAGTCTCACCTATAAAGAGGAACTGGAACGGATGATCTTTATGGTTTTCGATCTCTAAAATATGGTTTTCAATCTCTAAAATTACATGACAACAGGTTCATTATGAAGTACTCAGAAAACAAATGTAAACTATTTCTGAAGTAGGGTGGCACAGAAGTTAGAGAGACAGAGAGAGATCATAAAACTAAATTTCACTTAATGCCGAAGAATCAAGGGGGAAAATCTCATTTCTTTCAATTCCCAGAATACTTCTGAAAATTGTACAAGTTGATAGTTCTGAGCTTTATGTGGAAAATTGTCATGGATACAAAAGGAAGGGCTCCTCCCCAAATCACACTGTTACTATTAATGTAAGTAGTAGCTGAAATCCAAACCCAGATCTTCTGACTCCAAGCTTTAGAGCAGAGTATTTTGCAAATGTCACATAAATCACCCTTGCTATACTTATCATCTTCCTGAAGTGGGTCAGTAGCATCACTGCTATTCTGTTATTTCCCAAAGTGGAAATCCGTCACAAGAATCTCAACCAGTAAATATATATGATTACGAGAGGGAAAGTAGGACAAACAACAACAAAACACTCCTCCAATCATTTTATTACTAAATAACAGTGCTTCAAAGAAATCAAAACTGTGATTAACGAATATTAAGAAATAACAATGAGAACTCTATATACATTAATACCTGTATGATGTGATTAAAAAAGTAATCACAGACTAACACTAAACATTTATTATTGAAGGAAAATTAACAAACTAAGCATGTAATTCAAACAGAAATAACAAGAAACATACCAAAAGGAAAATGTACATAAAACAAATTAAGAGAAATAGTAGAAAATGGTTCCTGTAGCAATAGAAAAATGGACAGATGACACAGCAGGCAATTCACAATTATACACCCAATAAAAAGAAAAGCTCAACCTCATTAATAACCAGAAGCACAAATTTTAATGTCAGACTATCATTAATCTAATAATGGTCACACTGGAAAAGACTGTTGAATAATTTTTGGTGTTAAGTGTGAAGAGAGGGATATACGTTCAGAATGAGAGTATCAAATAATATAATGTTTTGTGGACAATATGCCAAAATGTCTCAGTATTTTGGCAGAGGGTGTGTGGGAGTGTGTGTAGATTCAACCTGGCAATACCACTTTAGGTCATGCATCAAAGAACACAGGAGAACTAGACTTTGGAACCAGGTTCACTGACCCGTCCAAGCTTCTGGCATTTTTCCTTTACCTCAACCCAATGATCTTCACTTCCAATCCATTTAAGTAATCTACTCACAGCCATTAGACATCCCCAAAATGCTCTTCGAAATTATAATAAAAGTGCTAATCTCTTCCCATCAACTCTCTCAGTAACTGTTCACTAAACCTGCTCTTGCATTTCATTACGACCTTGGTCCCACGAGCCTCTACTTTCATTTCAGCTCTATTCAGCGTAGACAATAATGCCACTGCTTCTACGACTTCCTAACATCATAGCTGTTTGTCTTCCTACAGCTCCTACCAGGCAAATTTCCACATGTGGACCAACACAACTGAATTTGTCAGTACTCAAAATTTACTTCAACCACGCTGTGGTGTCATATTTTTCTACCTTACTTGGCTAACAAATCTCACCTTTAATACCTAACCAGCTACCTATCCACATTCACAGTCTTCTTAATGTTACTGAAGAAAAGGAAAGACATCCCCAATCCTTCTGTTCCCCTGGTGAGCCCTCTCCCTCCATCCTCCAAGACGCTGTTGTTTCAAATCTGTACTCTCCTCTAAATCTGATTCCCAACACATGCCCCCTCCCCAGATGATCACTTTCTACTTCATTCAAGACACAGACAACATCCCAGGAACTCACACTCTCAACTTGCTGCTTCCAAACTGACACATGGGGTTTTTTTGGCATCCAGATTCACCTAATCTCCGTATTCTTCTCTACTAAATGAAAGGTATCCCTCTCTTCAAATCTAATTCCTGTTGTCCCTCCAGTATTCTCCAGTACCTTGATAGATTCATTAGGTTTCCTATCTCCCCACCCACTTTTATTTTCAACCTCTCCCTCAAGGCCAGTTCATTTCCATTCACTTAAACAGACCTAATTCTCTATCATCTTAAAAACAACCCCCTCCCCCAATCTGTCTCCTGCTGGTTACACTCTCCTCCCCTTGTCTCAAGCAATTTTTAAAAAAGTTAACTACACATTGCTTTTACTTACCCACAACTGCATACTTATTACTCAAGAGTGCAATACAAGGCGGACAAACTGAAGCATGGACTTTGTTCTCATTTCGCTGCTTACTGTCGGCAGCAGTGCCACTCCTACAATGACAGGACGGTGGCCCTCCCCAGTACCCCTGAATTTAGCAGCATCCGCACCCGACAGGTCCTAATCCTTCTCTGTAGTATTACCTGACCTCGCTGTCACAGCTGACAGTACTGACCCATTTCTCCCTTTCACACTGGCCTTCTCTGGATTCCGTAACACTGAACTCTTCCAGTGTTCCTCCTACCTCTACCCCCTCCATTCTGAAATCCCCTTCCTTGCCCAGACCTTTAAGTGTTCTCAAGGCTCTGCTTCTGACTGCACTTTCTTTCACACACTCTTCCAGGATAATCCATCTCATCTACTTCTAGTCTTGAGAACGATTCGGATGTCACCTGTATCTTGAGCCCAGTTCTCCCTTGACCTTCAATTTTGCACATCCAACTCTACTAGAAACCTTCACCGGATATCCCATAGGCATTTCAACCAGAATGTATTTGCTGAAGGATGGTTTCTAGACTAGTTTAAGTCTTCTCTAACCCAATCAAGCTGAGCACCATTTTGAAACAGCTTATACAGAAAAGCCTCCTTTCCAGATGCTCTGAAGAAGGAAAAGGTAGCAGCTCTTGCACATGGCTTCTCCAGGAAGAAGCAGCCAATGTAGTTACAACTCCTCTAACACAGCCAACAAGAGTCCAAAATGCAGTACTTAAGTGCAACCTCAAAAACGACAGAGTGATCTCTGCTCATGTCCAAGGCAAACTATTCAGTATCACAGTAATCCAAGTCTATGACCCAGTCACTAATGCTGAAGAAGCAGAAGTGGAACGGTTCTATGAAGATCTACAAGGCCTTCTAGAACTAACACCAAAAAAGGTGTCCATTTCATCATAGGAGACTGGAATGCAAAGTAGGAAGTCAAGAGATACCCAGAGTAACAGGCAAGCTTGGCCGTGGAGTAGAGAATGAAGCAGGGCCAAGGCTAACAGAGTTCTGCCTAGAGAATGCACCAGTCACAGCAAACACCTTCTTCCAACAACACAAAAGACGACTCTACACATGGACATCACCAGATGGTCAATGTCGAAACCAGATGGATTATATTCCTTGCAATTGAAGATGGAGAAGCTCTATACAGTCAGCAAAAAACAAGACCAAGAGCTGACTGTGGCTCAGATCATGAACTCCTTATTGCAAAATTCAGACTGAGATTGAAGAAAGTAGGGAAAACCACTAGACCTTCAGCTATGACCTAAATCAATTCCCTTACCTATACAGTGGAAGTGACAGATTCAAGGGATTAGATCTGACAGAGAGTGCCTGAAGAACTGTGGACAGAGGTTCGCAACATTGTACAGGAGGCTGTGATTAAAATCATCCCCAAGAAAAAGAAATTCAAAAAGGCAAAATGTCTGAGGAGGCCTTACAAATAGCTGAGAAAAGAAGAGAAGCAAAAGGCAAAGGAGAAAAGGAAAGATATATCCATCTGAATGCAGAGTCTAAAGAATAGCAAGGAGAGATAAGAAAACCTTCCTCAGCGATCAATGCAAAGAAATAGAGGAGAGCACCAGAATGGGAGAGACTTGGGATCTCTTCAAGAAAATTAGATACCAAGAGAACATTTCATGCAAAGATGGGCTCAATTAAGGACAGAAACAGTATGGACCTAACAGAAGAGAAGATATTAAGAAGAGGTGGTAAGAATACACAGAAGAACTATACAAAAAAGATCTTCACGACCCAGATAATCACAATGGTGTGAT